ATAATAAAAAATCACTTATTTATTGCAAAAATTGTGCAGAGAAAACGTCAAAAAATGGAAATTTATTTTCATAAGCGTTTCATATTCAAAATTTTTGACTTTTTTCAATTTTTTTAGGTTCAATTACGAATTATGGGTATAAATAATAAGAATTTTTTCGCTGCCTGTTATAGGATCAATATCACGGACGCCATTTGTCCAGCAGCTGAGCAACTCGCACGCGTACCTGCCAAATGGGATGCTTCATATGTCCGCCATTTTTAAATATTTTTGGAAAAAAAAATACGTATGGACAGTCCAAAACATATATAAATAAATGTTTAAGTTTGAAAAATATAGAAAAATTCTTTCTCCTACAAAAAAATTCTTGAAAATAGCTTATTTTTCCTCGTTCTAATTGGATTTCCCCCCTTAAAGGGATAATAGAGACGAATGGCGGGTACATTGAGTAAATGGACTCGGGATTAAACTCTTTAATATGTATAAAAATCATTTTTTAATATCTTTAATATTGGCTTCAATAAATAACATTTACGAATAAACTTTTTCGTGTCCAGATTCTAATGGTGCACCTTGTACTCAAGCATTCGCGAGAAATTTGCATCGAAAGTTTCTCATGCGTCTTCTATACCAAATTAATGAAGGAGTTTAGCAGGTAACGACGTCCCGCAGCGGATAAGGCGCAGTACTAGAATGAGCGTTGCATGTTTGAATCTTGATTTTTCCAATTTCTTTTTCCTTTTTTATCTAAATTTACAAAATATTGTAATACATGTGAACACGTGTGTGTATGGAGTAAAAAAATTATTATTTAATAATTATTAAATTTAATGCTAATACTTTAAATGTAATATTTTATATTCACATACTTCAACGCCTGTAACCACACGAATAGTATTGATCCACAATACAATTAAAGACTTCAAAATCATTTTTAAATTTTAAAATTCTACAAGAAATTTTATTTTTACATTATATTACATAACTGTCAGTGTTTTTCTACTGTTGTGGAAGTTTTTCTGTTGCCGAAAACTCGATTATGAGGCAGCTATTTGCTACCTGCAGAAACCGTTATTTTCTATCTGATAGAGAGAAGTAGAAACACGGGTAGCTCTTGCTTTAAATTTAGCTGTTTGGTTGACTCCATAGCCAATCAGGCAGACGTTTATAACATGTCATACAGTCCAAATTAATTACCGAAAGAAGCTTTTTTTTTTTTTAATGTAAATGACGTCTGCTTTTCTCTAAAAAATTTGAAAAAACCATGTATTTGTAAACATGCAGTTTTCCCAGGCACAAAGCACTAAGCCAATGTTGAATCTATAGCAGCCAATATAGAATCTACAGCGGCCAACCGTTGACCAACTAATATGTGTTGTTAGGATTGTATATAATGTATATTTTTCTTTGAGACCATTCTTATATATGAAAGATACGACTCTTATGAAAAAATATTATAAAAAAATTACTGAGAACAGTAATATAGTAAGCTTTATTCAATGTGCTTTGTGCAAATCAACATTGTGTTTTAAATGTTTTTTGATAATCATCATCCAAAAATTTGTACATCTTCCAAACAGGATTCCGAAGAGAATTCCGATATACAGGGTGTCCCATATAAGACGTACCAAAAGCAAAATATAAGTAGAACAGATAAAAGTGAAAAAATATTGTAGAGATCATTTCTCGAACAACCATGTAAAATATCAAGTTATTAAATAAAATAGATTGGCTAATCAGAACGCGCGACACGACAGGTAGGACATACGGCACGCCGCGGTCGGCGAAGAAAATGGACGATTGCTCGCGGGCCTATTTTATAGGCCAGACAAGTGGGCCGTTTGGTAGCATACTGAAATGGGTAGCTCCGTGTGCGTTCGTGTACATGTGCGGTTGCCAATTTTTTTTGCCAGCCGCGGCGAGCCGTATGTTCCGCCTGCCGTGTCTCGTGCTCTGATTTGTCCAACTATTTTATTTAATAACTCGAAATTTTACGTGGTTGTTCGAAAAATAACCTCAACAATATTTTTTCACTTTTACCTGTTGTTTTTTTCTGGTACGTCTTATGCGGGACACCCTGTATAAAAATAAAGCAGATTTAAAAATGATTTTGGAGTCTTTAATTTTATATTGCAAATTAAT